GAATTGCAGAGAAAACACTTACGAAAGCTTCAAAGCTTTGTGTTTTTCTGTGTTACATAGGGCTGTATCTCTGTTGTTGAACTGTCATGTAACTCGTGATGTGAGAATGTACTTTAGACATTAGCGTTTAACAGTCTACTTTCATCAACATTCTAGGGCACTTTTCGCCTTGTACTAGTCAGCTAATTTCATCAAGTACTTTCAGCGATGTTTTAGTTGAACGATATCATGAGCATGTGTTTATGAATCACAATCAAATGTAATGATTCCATCAATTCTCTAGTGGGATACTTGCATCATTTCAACATGTACTTTCAGCATTGTTCTTTGAACAGGTAACTTTCAGGATCGTTCTTTCAACATGTACTTTCAGGATTGTTCTTGCAACTGGGTACTTTCAGCATTGTTCTTTCAACCGGGTACTTTCAGCATTATACCCGGGAAGGTCTGGGTTAGAATACTGATCTTCAGTAACCCATGCTTGTCATAAGAGGCTGACTAACACTTGGTTGACACATGTCATCGGCTCCCAATTGCGCGGATCAATGCTCATGCTGTTGATCACTGGATTGTCTGGTCCAGATTCGATTATTTACAGACCGCCTCCATATAGCTGGAATATTGCTGAGTGTGGCGTAAAACAAACTCACTCACTCACTCACTCACTTTCAGCATTGTTCTTTCAACAGGGTACTTTCAGCATTGTTCTCTCAACAGGGTACTTTCAGCATTGTTCTCTCAACAGGGCACTTTCAGCATTGTTCTCTCAACAGGGTACTTTCAGCATTGTTCTCTCAACAGGGTACTTTCAGCATTGTTCTCTCAACAGGGTACTTTCAGCATTGTTCTCTCAACAGGATACTTTCAGCATTGTTCTCTCAACAGGGTACTTTCAGCATTGTTCTCTCAACAGGGTACTTTCAGCATTGTTCTCTCAACAGGGTACTTTCAGCATTGTTCTCTCAACAGGGTACTTTCAGCATTGTTCTCTCAACAGGGTACTTTCAGAAATGTTATCATAGGGCACTATCACAAGTGTTCTTTCATATCAGCAGTGAGTCTTCAGCAGGAACCTTGTAAGCAATGGTCCATTGGAGGGTAGTTTAGCATTGCCCTTACTACAGTTATGAGCAGCAGTGTTTGCTTTCAGGATCCCTTCCACAGCTGGATTCAAACCAAAGCTCAACTGAAGCAGTTCCTGGATGCTAATTAATTTGACCTGGCCTTATTCAGTCAAAAGTTCCACTCTAAAACCACAAAACACTATTCAATCAATAAAAAGTACAAGGATTCAATAAAATTGACCATTTGTAAGTTAATATTTTATCTGCAAAAAGTTTTGTCAAATCATTTCATTTTTGAGCCATTCCTAAAGTTCTATTGTTATTCAATACTTTATATAGTCAGATATATGAAATATAGAAATCCTAAATCATGTCATTTCTGTTTTTCCCAAGGATATTTTCTACAAAACTATTAATGTTTATTGCTGTATAAAAAAGGAGTTTTCAAAAACGGAGATCCAGTGTCTCATAGAGATAGCACCAATATGCAATTTAAAGATCTTTACTAAAGCAGTGTAGAGAACTGAATGTCAGAATTAGCTTTATTTGTCAGCTGTAATTAAAACATACACATTCATCATGTCAGAACATTTACAGGAAAATAATGTGTTTTTCACAGTGCTCTGACTTTTCTTCATCATGTGAATTCTTCATGGAGTGCATTTATTAAAATGGTGAAAACTAAGCCAATTTATCAGTTTTGTAGACTTAGGTATGCATTATGGCCATGCTTATAAAGTAAAATTAAATGTGTATCTGTTTAAATGAAAGATTACAAAGACGACACAATCCACCTTCTCCTCTCTCAAAGGCCAACTCTTATGTTGTTCTTTGTAGGGTCCTCAGAGTTTGAAAATAACTTGGGAAATTACTGGCGGAAAATTGTTTGCAAGACATGCAGAGTGTCATGAAAAACAATGTGTTATTAAAATAAACATGCATGTCTTGAAGAGTAATGTGAAAATGTTATGGTTCATAAAAGAGATCACATTCACATCATTTTGTCTAAGCAGTAATGTTACTGGCAATTTTGCCGAGTCAGTCTCTTAGTTCTGGTCTGATCGGGGGTGGTGGGGTAGCCTAGTGGTTAAAGCGTTGGCTCGTCATGCTGAAGACCTGGGTTTGAATCCCCACATGGGTACAATGTGTGAAGCCCATTTCTGGTGTTCCCCGCCGTGATGTTGCTGGAATATTGCTAAAAGCGGCGTAAAACCAAACTCAGTCAGTCTGGTCTGTCATCATCATGTTTCCCTCTATTACTTAAGGTTATACTACATCAAAAGGTTAAAAGTTTTCATAGCCTTCAGTGCAGGCTGAATCATCTGACAGCTGTGATTGGATGATTTTGTGTTAGATTTTTGTGTTTATCAAATTTACATCCATCCAGTAATTAAAACTGACCATATTTTTCAGTAGTTAGTGCTGACTTATATAACTCGATGACTTATGTTAAATGTGACCACAAGTATTTTCAGGCCGTGGACATTTTGTGCGGAAATGGGGTTGGACTATTTAGCTTGCTGTATTTGGAAAAGGAACTGGTTGAGGAGTTAGCCTTTTATTTTTATTGTTACTTAAGGCTAGTCCATGCACACATGAACATCTCCTAGCTGTTGAGAGCATCACATAGCTCTTGAGCTGTTGAAAATATATTACATTACTAAAGAAGTGAATGGGAAAATATTTGACACATTTTATACGTACATATGTACATTGTTTGTTTGAAGTCCCAAATGTTGACAGGACATCATTCATCATGTTCATATGAATATATCTGACAATTTCCAATTTTAATGTCGAAAAGTTCTGATTAATTCTAAAATATTTAGGCCATAAAAGACTTAAAGGGCCCTCATACAACATCATCCCTGCAAAGTTGTGTTGAACTACAAACAGAAGTTTATACCCAATTTTACAGATTTTCATTTCCAGTATGCTGCTTCTTCTCCAGGCAATAATCATAAAATCACACAAACCTTTTCAATATTTGTAAGAATTCTCTGCGGAAAACTGAGTCGATTGTACGATTCTGGCTGTATCCTGAGTATGTGTCTACAGATCACTTTCTAATGTGATGACACCAGGTGTTCACAAATATGTAAGCATATCCTGCCCCCAGTAGCACCATCACAAACACATGCAAAGACAAGTCAATTGTTCACCTGAAAAGACATGGGAACATGGTACAAGTAACATAGGGAATTGCATTGGGCCTAATTTTTGTCACCAATGCCTCAAATTGGGAAATCTCCTCCATCTGTCTTTCATTTTGGAAGCTTTGCTGAACAGCCAGCAGTGTTCAGATTAGAAATTGCCACATATATCACCAATATGAGACCCTTTCTGGGGTCAATCAATCCAAGTAGTGAGGAATCCCTTATGATTCACACCTTGAGCTTCTGATTAACTTTCATTTATATTTCCACATATATATTGGTGGCCCACTTGTCTAACTAGTCTAAGGCACTGCAATCTGCTATGCAGAATTGTGTCCCTTGGGTGTGCCAGGAACCTATGTTCATTGGTTTGAATCTCCATTTACCCTGAGTATGTTTCCAGGTTCATCAGCACCACATGTAAGATCTGTATCACTTAGGTTTCCCCCCACGTTGAGCTGACATGCTGCGATATGACTTGAATATTGTTTAAACCAGAATACTGTCAAACACAACTCATTCAATCATTATTAAATTAAGGTGTATTTTTTCAGACAATACAGTCCATGAATACTGTGCTGTTTTGCAGGAACCAGTATGTTTGATTGACAGATAAGTAATCTTTAGCAGTTTTCCATGGCCAAGTTATTAAATCGTCAGAAACTTCAATACAACATGTACACAAGTTCACCTCTCTGTAGGCAGGTTGTGATGGTGAAATTCCAGACAAATAGCTGACAAGAAAATTTTGGCAAATTAGTTGCCGGGGGAAACGTGAATGTTTTTTCCGCTTCCCACATCTTGATATAAGGATGTGTTTGGGTCATATCCCCAGGCTACAAGGGACAAAAAATGTTTGTGTAGCTGAAGACATCTATGTTTGTGTGGGGAGGAAGATCTCAGAGATCATCCAGCTGCATGTTTGTAGTTAAGGGGTTCCTTATGGCTAGCACATGGGGAGAAAGATGTTATGTATATTGAGATATAATGACATGTACAAACATGAGATAAGAGATGCTGATAGTTTGGATGAGCTAAAACCACTGAAATAAAATAACATAGCTTGTCTGTCAGGACGGTACTGTGATGCAGCACAGGTATTGTGATGAGTGTATACTGTTCTGGTATACCTGCTGTTGCTGTGAGAGTACACCTGCTCCAGGTGGGAGAATATACCTACTCTAGGTTTTAGTGTATAGTGACTGTTGATATGAGAGTATACAAGCTCCAGGTGTGAGAGTATACCTGTTCAAGGTGTGAAAGAGCATACCAGCTCCAGGTATTAGAGTATACCTGCTGCAGGTGGGAGAGCATTCTGGCTCCAGGTGTGCCCAGGTGGGAGAGTATACCTGCTCTAGGTGTGTGTCCCAGCCCCAGGTGTGAGAGTATACCTGCTCCAGGTGTGTTAAAGTATACTGGCTCCAGATGTGTGAGAGCACACCTGCTCCAGGTGTGTAAAAGAATACCGGTGTAGCAGCCCAGAATAACCCCCGACCAGATTATACCCTGGGGTAAACTATAGGCTAGCCCAGTTTATACCCCGGGGGTATATTCTGGACCAGGCCAAAGTATACCCCTCCAGCCCAGACTATACCCCTAAAAAATTATGTTGACAATTCCAGATGTGTTAGAGCACACCGGCTCCAGGTGTGTGAGAGTATGAGCTATTGCCTCAAAATAACTAATGGGTATAATTTCACTGACTGTGTTCTTCAGATTTTTGATGGGAGTTCTAGAACCAGAATTTGAGTTTTGCAAAGTTAAAAATGACACCACTTACCGTTTTAGTACCTAGATGCTGTATAGAACATTGCAGGATGGCTGTGTCTCCCCTGTAGTAGGTGAGATTGTTAGGACGGGGGTTGAAATAGGGGATGCCAGTTCCATCATCATACAGACCATATGCTGAAAGTAGAGGAGATTCTTGTAGACATAGATCAGATGCAGACAAACAGAACCAGCAAGTTTATGGAATATGTCCAAATGAAGACTTAACACTAACTGTGTTTCTGCTGAAAGAAGAACCAAGTTACATTTTGTAGATCAGCTGCAGCTGAAATGTGATCAAGCTGATGAGAATCAAGGTGCTCCAAAAAGATGAGGGTGAGATTTCAGGGCTCGATTTAGTGCTTTGTTACTTGCACTGGTGCAACCCAATATTACAAAGTGCAACCTAGTTATGAGTCTAACTTGCACAAGGTGCAAGTCATTTTTTGAGAAATAAATATAACATTATAAGCATAAATATGTCCGCTCATTTTTCTTCTAAACTTTAAATAGCTATTGCACCGAAACATTGCTATTCAAAGACGCATCTTGTCTATGACAGCTCTTGTAAACAGGGATCAGCTGCGTCTCTGTGTTGCTGTGGTTTCATGGGTACTACATCATGGAAATACATGTATGTTTATGTGCACTGAAAACTCTGACGTTTTAACACACTACGTTGCAACTGGAATTTGGCTGGTGCAACTAGGTCTTTATCTTAGGTTGCACCTGGTGCGAGTAGGTTATCATCTCCTAAATTGAGCCTGGATTTTCACATATAGTATACTATGTTAACAGCAATCGAACGTTTAATGAAATGATGGATTAAAAAACCACAATTTTTTTTGTCGCGATCAATCTTCATATTTTAGTCAAAATGTGTACAACAAACTGGATATAACGGACTAAAATATGTGGTCCGTTTGAGTTACATTATTACCACAGTTTACTATATTTGATATAAAAAGACAGCAGGTTGCGATTCTAATTCTTCTAAAGTCATCTCTCAGTCCTCTTAGTTTGGAAATAATTATAGTTAATAATAAATTATTTATAAGTGTAAATCAGCTTCAGTGGCTAAGATGTCATTTGATTGTAACATCATGGTAACCAATGACATCACAATGGTTGACAAAGCATTTTGCCCTAATTCCATTGTAACAACGTCCCCTTGGAGACTCCAAAGAGATATCGCTTGATTTCATCCTGGCAATATACCCTGCAGAAGCCAGTTTGGGATGCTACAACATCTTTGTTGTAAGTGAAATGATGCAGAGGATAAGACACAACTGACAGCCTAAAGGTGACCTTTCCTGTAGCCGCTAAAAATGGTTTATTGCAGTCTAGGATCTCCAGGAAATCGGCTTTGTTGAGAGGAAGTGGTGGTGTTGAAACGTAATGTGAAGTCAGTTTATGATGCATTGAGTGCACATTCACCATCAATGAAAAAATGTTTGGGGAAGTTAAAAAGATGACAGGGTAGTACTGATATATTTATCTTACATATGGGACTTTGATGACTTGGGTTTTGTTCAGCCGGAGTACTAAACATCTGAAGGAGATCCTACAAGATTAAGCCTATGTTGAAAATGATTTATGGTACATTACTGAACTTGTGATGGTGGATTGTAAGGGGAGTAAGCTGAGCTGTAGGAATTTGAGTGATGATAAAGTGGATTAAAGTACGGATATATATAAAATGTCATCCCAACCTCTAGGCTTATAAATAAAACATAACTAATTCTAAGGGGTGGTGTGGTGGCCAAGTGGTTAAAGTGGTTGCTTGTCAGTAATGGTTTCATTTCATTATAGGCACAGTGTGTGAATATTATGGTATACAATATTCACTCACATAGTCTGGGATTTTGAGTGTGTACCACATCTTTTGTGCTGTGTGGGGTTTTCCCTTTACAAATGCTGTTTAATGCTGGGATTGTTACCTTACTTTTCTGGGTACTTTGCTGATGCTGGGTCTACTAATGTTTTGTATGTTTTACTGATGCAGACTTTGTATGTTTTACTAATGCTAGACTATTTGTAAGTTTTACTAATGTAGACTATTTGTAAGTTTTACTAATGTAGACTATTTGTAAGTTTTACTAATGCAGACTATTTGTAAGTTTTACTAATGCAGACTATTTGTATGTTTTACTGATGTAGACTATTTGTATGTTTACTAATGTAGACTGTATGTTTTACTAATGCAGACTATTTGTATGTTTTACTGATGCAGACTTTTGTATGTTTACTAATGTAGACTATTTGTAAGTTTTACTAATGTAGACTATTTGTAAGTTTTACTAATGTAGACTATTTTTATGTTTTACCGATGCAGACTATTTGTAAGTTTTACTGATGCAGACTATTTGTATGTTTTACTGATGTAGACTATTTGTATGTTTTACTGATGCAGACTATTTGTATGTTTTACTGATGTAGACTATTTGTATGTTTTACTGATGTAGACTATTTGTAAGTTTTACTGATGTAGACTATTTGTATGTTTTACTGATGTAGACTATTTGTAAGTTTTACTGATGTAGACTATTTGTATGTTTTACTGATGCAGACTATTTGTATGTTTTATTGATGTAGACTATTTGTATGTTTTACTGATGTAGACTATTTGTATGTTTACTATGTAGACTATTTGTTTTACTGATGCAGACTATTTGTAAGTTTTACTGAGCATTTGTCTTTTTACTAATGCCTTTGTATGTTTTACTACAGACTTTGTATGTTTTACACAGACTTTGTATGTTTTAAATGCAGACTATTTGTAAGTTTTACTAATGCAGACTGTTTGTTCTGTTACTAATAACTTATTAGTATGTTGTAAGCATGTCAACAAACCAGACATTTATAAACACAATTGATGTTCTGTTACCAGCGACATGTCAACAAACCAGACAAGCACATGATGGACCAGTGACTCAAATTAAGTTTTAACTGAAAACTGTATATAAAATACTCTTCAAACTGATGATAGATCTAGCTCACTCATGAGATGAATATAGACACCTGGGAACTAGTCCCCAATGTTTTGGGAAAATCACAATGTGAGCTCCAGTCCCTTCTTTGACATGCCGACCGCCTCCGTGGTGTAGTGGTTAGAGCGTACGCCCAGAGAGCCATACCAAAAGACGTTAAAATATGGTACTTGTTGGTCCCTGTCTGGCGCTCGGCATTAATGGGTACAACAAGGACTGGTCGGCTCGGAGTCAGTATAATGTGTCTGAGTGGGGTATTCATGCTTTTCTGCGGCATGGTATCTCAGTGGGCTAGCACTATAACAAAACAGCTTAAGTCTGGGCTAGTACAAGCAGCTGCACATACACATACACACGCATGCACGTCGTCATATGAGCGAAATATTCTCAAGCATGACGTTAAACACAATTTCACCTCACCTCACCTCTTTGACATGCCATTGGGCCAAGTGGCGAAAATCATAGAAAGCTAAAACAATATGGTGCAATGAAATAAAACAAAATTTAATTTTTGCTGAATTTCAATCCAGTACAATATTACAGGCTATCCTTTGTGATGAATCACCAATTATATTGAGTGAAAAACATTTTTAACTGAGGATTTGAGATTTGGTTTCGGATATTGCCTTTGTTTGTGAGATTTAGTGCAAGGTAGATTGAGTTTAGTTTTACGCCGCTTTTTAGCAATATTCCAGCAATATCATGGTGGTGCTCGTTAGAACACTATGACATGATTGAATATATAACATTGTAATCAAGTGGTTATATTATGTCCAGGTGGGATTCAAATTCTTTTGCCAGCAAGGGCATGTTGACATAATGATTGTGAATACATTATTCTTCAAGCTTAGAGCTCTTCTGGTTCATTAGTAAGAATTAGTATAAACTGTATATCATGTGATCATTGCCAGCAAGGGCACGTTGACATAATGATTGTGAATACAATATTCTTCAGTCTTAGAGCTCTTCTGGTTCATTAGTAAGAATTAGTATAAACTGTATATCATGTGATCATTGCCAGCAAGGGCACGTTGACATAATGATTGTGAATACAATATTCTTCAGTCTTAGAGCTCTTCTGGTTCATTAGTAAGAATTAGTATAAACTGTATATCATGTGATCATTGCCAGCAAGGGCATGTTGACATAATGATTGTGAATACAATATTCTTCAGTTTTAGAGCTCTTCTGGTTCATTAGGAAGAATTAGTATAAACTGTATATCATGTGATCATTATCTTCAGCAAGGGCATGTTGACATAATGATTGTGAATACACATATTCTTCAGAATTCAAAGCTTCCATCTTAGGTTCATTAGTAAGTTAATAAGCTTATAAACTGTATATCATGTGATCATTGCCAGCAAGGGCACGTTGACATAATGATTGTGAATACCAAATCATTCAGCCTTTGCTCTTTTTAGGCTAGTTTGGATCAAGATTAACTTGATGTGTCAGATTTGCTCTCTTTGCCTGCCTGCTTCAATGATTGCCATTTGTCGTGAGAGCTGTTGACCCCTTGGCCAAAGAGGCAGCACTCATCATTAACTAATACGGCAGTTGCTGTGGGCTATATCTTCTTAACAGCTTAACAGAACATTCACGATCACGTAGACAGCAAACAGGCTTCCACTTCCATACATCAAGAATCACACCAGTCTCGGTTTAGTGTGTTATAATTCGACACTTGATACCTATTTGTATTTTTGACACTGATATAGCGGGACTGTTGATCATAACTAATAGACTAATTGCTTTGAAATATTTGGTTTGTTTTTTTTCTGCTGTGAAAAGTTTGTTGAAGATGATTGTCCAGTCGTTCAAGAAGTCTGTAGTGTTTGTATAAGATGTGACAAAGGATGACAGATGGAGTTCCACGCAATTTATCAAAGAGAGGTCAAACCATTTGCTGTCATTTGATTGGTGGAGGCCAAAGGTCAGGTTTAATCCAATTGTTTACATAGCTGCGTCCCAAAGCAATGATTGATTGTAACATTTTATGATTTGTGTACAGAACCCTATTGGCGAAAAATATCGAGCGGAAAATACCCTTATCAAATATTGGATGCTAAATGGTAGCCATTGATTGATGGAAAATGTCTTAAGGTGGTTCAAATATCTAGAGTTATGAACTGATAACCCAGAAAA